AAAAAAAAAAAAAACGATAGAAAAAGGAGAAAAGCACAATCATTTTCTTAACAAGTTTAAATTCCAGAACTTGTAACCCACTTATGTAGCCTAACAATCCACATTAGTGATTATTACCATGTTTTTTGTTTTCTTGAAACTCACTCAAGAACAAACCTTCCTCAAATTCAAAAAAAGCACTCAATTTTACCTACTTTAATCGAACGGCTCCTTTTTTTTGCACCCTCTCTCATACTTTACATAGTTGTAGCTAGGGCTGAGCATGAGATTCGAATAATTTCGAACCGTTTCAAAAACCGAATCGAAATCAATTCGAACAGAAAAATAATCGTTGATCGTTTGACCTCCGAACCGAAAAAATATTTGGTACGGTGGAGATTTCACAATATCAGTACCGAGAACCGAATCGAACCGTCCCATACCGTACCGAATCGAACAACCGAAAATTAAGAACCGAATTATAACATTAGATGTGTGTTATTAATATACTTTATGTCAACTATGATCTTATATAATTTGAGAATTTTTAAAATACAAATAAAAGTAGTAATAACAATTAAGTCTCACTTAAATTTCATGTTTAGTAATACTTGATCTACAATTGAATTTTTCTGTTATAAAAAATTATTTAAAATGTTATGAAAGGTTAAAAGAATATTTTTTTTAAGAAAACCATATATTATATTTTGTTTGAATTTTAAAACTTTAATTTTAATTGCATAAATTTAGTCTTAACTAAAATTTAGAGTACTTCTAAAGTTGATTTCAAAATAAGATCTTTAATATGAGGAAATATTGATGGGTTTCTTAAAGCACATGAAAATTAATTAACTAAAATTTAGAGTTACTTCTAAAGTTGATTTCAAAATAAATCTTTGATATGATGAAGTATTGATGAATTTTTTTAAAGCATATAAAAATTATAATATGACTAGCTAGAGTCACTAAGTGCAGTTTTTGTTGTACCTATAGGTAGTCATTCATAAAAAATTTAAAAAATAAGAAATCTCCTAAGATCCGACCGAACCATACCATACCGAACCGTTTCGA